AGCGACCAAAACTGGATGCCGTATTCCAAGTGTGGCTTTTACCAAGGCCTTATAAAGTGGTATTAATCCTTTGTGTGATCTTGATTCTCTCCCTCTGTTGATGCAGCCTAGAACTGTGTTGGCTTTTTTGGCAGCTGCTGCACACGGCTGGCTCCTATTTAAACGGTTGTCCACTAGGACTCCAAGATCCCACTCACAGTTACTACTATTGAGCAAGTTACCACCTATACTGTACCTGTGCATTTCGTTTTTCTTGCCTGCATGTAGAACCTGACTCTTTTCACCACTGAATTTCATTTTGGGATGGATTTATCCCCCCACCTCCCACTCAAAGGGTTTAAAGATTTAATCTGGAGCGTCTGTCTCTTCTAATCTCAGCTCTTCCTCCTTTGAAGTCTTTATCAGTTTAAAACTTTACAAGCAAAATTCAGAGACTGAGAGATAAAAAGGGCAATCGGGCCATTCGGTCATTGTTATCTGATGGTGACCGGTTGCATTTTCCGCAAGAGTTTCACCTGGCTGGAAAAAAATCCACATTCCTGGCTAAAGAGGGAGGGAAATTTCCTTCCAACAATCTCTTCACTTGGGAAATCTGCATCCCGAGAGATCCGTGGAACCTCCTCATTCAGAAGCAGTCTAGCTTGCACGCCCAATATTATATTCGTGGGAAGCTTGATGCCTTTCCCTCCGAAGCCGGGCGGAAAACGTTGAGATATTTTCTTTTGCTGCCGAATTTTGCAGCATCCGTACTGATTGATGATGCAGCTGGAAGCAGGATTGAACGCGAAGGTAGAGAAGGTAGACCAGTGCTTAGCACTTCTCAAACCCTTTGGGGAGGATGGGAGTTGGAGTCTCAGCACAGCTGGAGGGAGCCAGAACCGGATCGGGGGAATTTTCACCCTCCCTGCAAAAACTAAGCAAGCCGCAATTGTGGGGCTTAGCCCAAATTTGCAACCCAGGTAGGGTTGCATCTGGCAACGGTTGTTAAGTGAATCACTGCGGGGGGCTTAAATTGGTTGTATGGTTGTTAAGTGAACCTGGTTGCAAAAGGGGGATTGCGTGACCCACGGGAACGCTGCGACCGTCATAAATATGAAACAGTTGCCAGTTTGGATCACATGACCTCAGGGAAATTCTGCAGTGGTCGATAAGTGTGAAAAACGGTCCTAAGTCTGGCTTTGTAACTTTGGCCACTAAACGAACGGTTGTATATTGAGGACTTGCCTGTATACATTTCCCCCCCAAAAAATCTAAACAATTTCTGT